GAAAATTGTAACATCGGATGGGGCGAAAAATCTGCACATCAAACTAACCATTAAGCGTCAGTGCCATTAACATGACGAAGCTTAAAAGAAGGCTGTGAAGAAACGGCTGTACTTTGCGTACATTTCCGCTTTTGTGACCAGAGCAATTGGTATCTGTATTGTTTCCATGGTCCTGACGGCCTCATATTTACCCCATAGATTGTAACTTTGTGTACAAATATATGTTATATGGACCGCTAGTTACTTGGTCACGCTAGCTGTCGCTTGGCTGGTCTGTAGTGTAAAATGTTAGCCCGTCAGCTGGCGGGTATATTACTCAAAGCTGGTGAGTCTCAAAAATACGAACGAGAATCTTATGCCTTTCCAGATGTACTCTGGCTATCTGGCTGCTTGAGACCGTGACAACTATTTGACAATGAGACAAGATTTTTAGGCTAACTCTGAAGTGGCTCCGAAGCGGCTGCCTACAGAGCTCCAACACCATTCAATCTTGCATACAGGCGATCCACGTGGACATAAGTACACAATCCTCTGTCCCACTTTGCAAACCGGGTGAACAGCAAGCGAGATTAAACAATGGGAGTGGGTAGTTAGTTGTTAGATGCATGCTTATTCCTTAGTGCTCTTAACCATTCATAATTGCACCAATTACTTGCGTTGTGTGATGCTAAAGACTAAATTCTGAGTATTTTACGTCAGGTACTATACTGGGTTAAGTGCAGGAATTTCGTCTATTCAGAAGCAATTGACCCGATGTGCTGCCGTCTCGCCCTTTCGCCTGGGCGTCAATCTCTCCAGACACTATTCAGCGATGTGTGCTTGGAACCTCTAGTCCGCCTACTATCTGTTGTCTAGAACTGATGATATTCTGGCCCTTATTTTGCTATATGGTGGATAAACATTGATTCTTGATCGGTTTCATTTTAAGTCGGGTCTAAAACTAACACATGCATTTCGTTCTTGAGCAATTCCGGTTGCAAAATCAACCATATTTCCTTCTGGGGGCTCATTTCGGATGTTCTTGCAGCAAGCAATGCCAACTTCAAGCCAGTCTGTGGGTTATCTCATCACCCGTTAAAGGGTTGATATCGGCGCGCCCCCTATCACTGTTCGATCGCCGCCGAGCTCTCTCTCATGGTAGACCCAGACCAGAACGAAGTTAGCCGTACTGTCAGCAGGAAACTCAAACTAAGCCTTCGCAGCGATCGGGAACTTTGGTGGTCCCAAAGCGCTTTGGAGATGAAAGTCGCCGCCCTCACTGGAAACATGCGCAGGCTGTTTCAGCTCATTCGGACCACTGGACACAGCAGGTCTGGTATCAGCTAGGTCATCTGCGAGGCGGAGGTGCCACAAATCACTAGTTTGCAGAAACACATGAATAGGTGGGCTGAGCACTTCTAGTCTCAGTTCAGTTATTCCTCTCTACCCATTTTTACACTCAGTACTACCAGTCGCATGCCTTGGTTACTTCCACTCGAACCACAAACCTAGCAGAAGGTTTATTGCGAGAAACGTCAGTTAAAGAGATTCAAGGAGGCCGGATCAGGTGAACCTCCCCCAGCATTGTTCAAATACTGCGCTAAATCAGTTGTCAAGCAACTAGCCTCCCCTGTTTCCTAAGATGTGGCAGAAAGGGTCCTCTCTTCCTGGAGAGAAGCAATTACTGTTCTAATGTATAAAATGTCTCTCATATTTTGTGCGCCAATTACCGCGGCACCAGCCTGACATCGGTTGCGTCCAAGCTACTAGCATCTGTCACGCTTCGCAGTCTATGCCCCACGCGTGAGTTACAATACCCGGTGGAGCAGGCTACTTTTCCCCCGGTCGAGGTTGCTGGGACCAAATTTTCACTCATCGCTAAATCCTAGAACATCTCTACCTCTACCGCAAACCCACTATCGGCACCTTCCCGGATATTCGGACTGAGTTGGACTCAGTAGATTGACCTGCTTTATGGAACTTCCCGCTGAAAAACGGGGCTCCGAAAAGTACATCACTATACTTCGCGCGCTATACCCCCATAATTCAGGCCGAGTGAGAGCCTATGACACGCTTCCCCCACTCCGCTGTCACCGGTGGCGTGCGACAAGGATGCCAGGTATCACCGTTTCTGTTCAACGTCACGAGCAAAATGTCCATTTGGGAGCTTCAGAGGGCTTGCAGAAATTGGGCATCTAGCTTTTTTAAGGTAATCGCGTGACCGACTGAGAGTATATTGATGATATCGCCTTTCTAGGTGACGATGCTTATGGGATACAATCGATCATTAGTCGATTGGTAATTGAAGCGTCTAAGTATGGTATGTAATTTGTCCCCGCCAAGTGCAAAGTTCCTTTACAGGACTGGCAGACGCCTCTTCCTCAATTCACAACTGAAAGCACACAGCATGAGCACTTCGATTCTTTTGTCTACCTAGGGAGCTGCGTTTCTTCCGATGGCACTATTGGAGCATAAGTATCCTTTCGTATCGTTAAAGTTCGCTTGGTAGTGGCTAACTTAAGACATTGGTGGCTCTGTCGCGGCATTTCACTCTCGCTAAAGAGCAGGATTTACAAAACCTGTGTATGCGCGGTATTTCTGTATGGATGTGAATGCTTGCCGATTCGTGTGGAAGACATGTTTAGTCTTTCAGCTTTTGACAGTAGCTGTTTGCGGAGGATTGCCCGCGTGGTTTGGCAACACCGAGTGCGGAATGATTACGTTGAACACTGCGTCCTGAGAAAGGCGGATGTTCCGCTTTTTGATTTTGCCCGGCAGCGTCAGTTGAGATGGTTTGGCCACTTCCTACGCATGCCTAACGAGCGTTTACCACTTCGCGTCCTTTTGCGCACGCAAGGTTACTTTGGAAAATGCCCCGTGGAGGTTAACCGTCCCCCTGGCGATAATGCATGAAATAAATGGTGTCTTGCCTGGCCATCGCTGGTCCCGTTTGACTACCTGGCTGGGGCCCAAAGATGAAGCATTCCAATGGCTCACAACGCTAGAGGCAACTGCACCAAACCGGTCAAACTGGAAGCATTGTACACTAGTCTGCCAGAAGTTACGTTTACAAAAACACAACAGCTTAAAAGCCGCAAAAGAGTACAAAATGCCGTGTGTTGAACGAAAAGTTATTTGTCCAGTTTGCTCATTCCTTATCAAATCCTTTACATGTTTTGTATAATTGATTATTCTTTATTCAAAATTCCACAGTTTTGAATGCTTTGATGGCAATTTATTGGCTTCTGCCAATATATATATATATATATATATATATATATATATATATAAATGCTTCCATTCCTCTCAACTTTATTCGGTGTAAGCACGTTTGCGAGGAAATTCTAGGCAGAAATACTCCCATTGCAAAGTTATCAACGGCTCTCCAAAGCGGGTAGCATGAGATTTAGTGGTGGCCGTCGTCCCGATCCTTTATTTTTAACAATTCTAAATGCAGTGATGCACCATTCCCTCTCACTCGTAGTGACCAACGTCTGGCTTGGACAGATACTTCGCGCCCATGAGGGACTAGATCATACCGAATTCATCCACTCTTAAGTGTCTTGATGTATTTTATCTCAATCTGTCATGGTCAGCATACGTTGAGGAAACATTTCGGAAGATGGATTATCACTTATGCCTCGAGTCCCGAAATGCGTTCAGCACATTGCCCTTTAATGTATAATTTCGTGACTACCTTTACTCGTTCTTGCTGTTTACATTTCTCACCCATCAGTTTTCCTGGCCTCCTATAAAAACTTCATCCCGATTGCGTATTTCATTGAGCCCAAGTATAGCGGATTATCCAGATAGCCTTCTGTTAAATTTATCTGTACTAATAATTAATCCATATGACCAAGTTTTGAATAATCCTCTTCTTCCACTGCACAATGACCTAGCAAATGCTCTGTCCTGTTGATCTACGTGCTCAAAATTTAGGGCTTTTTTCTCACACGGTATTATTCTAACTTTCCGTATTTAGCATTGCCACGTGAGCCGGTTACTTGAGTGACAGATTTTATCATTCTTACCTGTTGACACGAATTCTAGATCGATGTTATACTTCACTGCTGGGGTAAAATGCTGAAAATGTTCCCAGTCGGGTGCTTAAACCTTAGTTTGACTTGACTGACATTCAAACCAAGCAACTGGTGTCGCTACAGAGGATGTTCATAGTTCCGACTGACGTTGAAGATGTTCAGTGAGTAGTAAGGGGTATATTGTGTTTTCGAGAAGATTACTCGCAGGTAGACTCAACCAGACAGCCACCACACATTCAGGAAAGCACTAGAAGACAATTTCGTCCTATTGGGATTCGTCAATAGGGCACACGCGCGAGACCCTGCTGGATTAAACCCATGACCTTAATCTACGAGTCCGTGAATAATGCCACTGAGCCATGGGTGATGGTGGTGGACCGCGATGACTGACATCTAACCGATATGATATGCATTACAGTTACAAATGGTTCTCCGTTTACACAATGCTGGTGTGTTATAGCGGTACCGGGGCAGATGCAATTTGGGGAAGTATGTAACTTCCATACCGGTAGTGAGCTGCGTTAACAGGATAGCGCTACATTTAAATGAGTAATCGGACGGAATTCCTGCGTCCCACCATTATGTGGTGCATATTTTAATTTCGAATTCTGCCGGTTATTTGTGCGACTAAATGGACCGTTAGTTTGTTGCGTGCAACGTGCCACCATGGCTCACTGACCGCGGTCCACACAGTAGCTTGGCGGTGGACTGCTGTTATGAAAACACCATTCGCTTACCATGTCCTTCCCCTAATGTCGCTGCGATATGACGAAAGAATAAGTTTATCTGAATTTGGGCATATTGCACTCCGGACATATGACCGCGCAATAAGACCGTACATCGATGAATTCTGACTAGTTGGTGGCGGTTGAAATCACATTTGGCTGTTCACATACTTTGACCTTTAAAAATGCTGCCCAAATTTAGGCGCAGTATTACAATTTACTCGGCGCATTTACTGCAGTACATTTCTGATTACAGTACTGAACAAATTGACAGAAAAACTGATTGAACCGATGATTACAGAATTCGCCGACAGGATTCACTGGATTATCGTGGACGATCTGATGCATACCCGCTTTCTGGACAGATTCGATGATCCGGAGCACACTGGAGAAATGTCAGCAGGTAAGTAGATTTTATAAAAGAGAGCATGGCAGAGCGGGCCAAATGCTTAACATCACTAAGATGGGTGCATACTTCGTGGCAAATGCTTCAGGTGACAGGACCTGCAGGCAGGTGAGATCTGATTGTCAATACTATGTTCCGCACCAACACCACGTGATTATGTTCGATGACAGACTGGTTCTGAACCATTATGTTGCATCAGTGATTCGAATGGGAATCGAGAACAGCTGGGGGTGAAGGCCTTGGTAATCATCGTACTTACTTTAGAAATTTCGCCAGCATCATTTTTATATGACGCTTCTTGTTACTGCTCAGAGGTTTTAACTAACCTCATCTGCAGAGGAAGCGATAGGCCACCACTAATGGAAACTGCCGACAGTCTTGCATGCGTACACCAACTCACCGGTCGTCCTATCAAAAATGCCCTACTGAATTTGCAAACGATACACGCAAATGACACCTGAATGTTGAACTGCGACCTGTGAGATATGGACATTTTGTCTCAGACAATTTGACGAACTGATGTCGAGTAGGTGCGAACAATTCTGTGTCAATACACGCTACGGCGTATCATCATCCATCATGTGTCACTACCGTCGAACGCAAGCTGCCTGACTTATCATCTGCAGAGCAGTACGGATAGTACGGCTGCTAGCATGTTTGTTTATTTTAGGGAGGTGAGAACCATACCTACTTCGAACATGCAGTATTTAGATAGTGTTCCTTAGCAGGATTAGTTTTTATCTACAGCACGCTTGTCGACTACAGTACAGCCCAGTGCGGTGAGAGTGAGTAGTTATCAGTGCCAAGAAGTTCTCCAAGATGAGGGTACGTAGTGAGGTAGGATTTCAGGGGAAGGAGATACTGTGGATTGTGAGTGAAAGACGCAACATCCAGTGGTGTTAATCCCAGACTAGCAACCTCCGTTCTGATCGTGAGTGGTTCCTAAGGGGCGCTTTGGGTAAATAACGCTATTGTCGGTCTGTACTACCTTATACTCCAGAATGAAGTAAAAGTGTTCTCTTGGTAACCAAGTATGGAGAAACATTTCAAGGTGTGGCTCTAATCGCCAGATGCCAGTCAGCTCAATAAGTTCATGACGGAATACTCCTTAGCATAGAACTAGTTTGTTATTATCAATAGAAAGCCACTCGAATCCTGCGGGAACTGGGAATATCGAAGATGCTGAACCAAATGCACATACGGACGCAGTAGTCCAAAAACAATGAGCAAGGATTTCTACTGGGTTAAAAACAGAGCGCTTGTCACATCCCTTATAATACCTCGAGCAAAGGACTACAACGTCGAAGTTAAATGGAAAGGAAATGGGAGCAACTCTGGGTTTCAGCCGACAACAAGCAATTCACATAAGTACGGTTACACCTTTCTCCACTGTTACTTTACGAGGAGGGCTGATGAGAACATTGTTTAGTTCGCGTTTTTTCGCCCTTCGACTGAAACGGCTAATATCACGTACTGTGAGTGGCATAGTGTCGTCAAGACGTCTTTTGAAACATGTTACTGTGGGGGCGAATAGATATGAGCTGGAAAAGCGTTCCATGTTCAGAATATCCGAAGGCAGAAGGGATTTGTTCGGCAAGCAATTCGACTAGTGCGTGGTAATTTTGAGCTGATGGGCCCCTAGGTTAGTTTTGAGACTGAACCGAAACAGACTGCGACAGGCGTAATTGGGGTTCGTCAATACTTGGGACGTCAAGATGAGATCACCACATGGACGCCGATTTTCACCACTGTGTCAGCCATTGGCTTGAAGTCTGAGTTAGCAGGGAAGGTGAAACAAGCCTTTGACAACTGGTTGCCCTGCCTTGTGGAGGTTCATTCGCGTCAACATCTGCACATGAGGCCCAAAATAGGAGTGCAACATTTGCACCAGTGCTATTCTTAGGAGGCGAAGGCGCTGACTAGATCTCGACATTTTTCGACCTGTTTCGAACACCTACGGTCATCCTAGATAATTACGCCTAGATCGCCTTGCTGCGAGGCACCTAGCAAGGTCTGTTCACTAGGTCAATATTCGTGATGGATTCAATAGCCTATGTTCGAAACATTACAGTTCACTCCGTCCAGCTAGATGGATATGTAGAGGCCCGGTCAAGATCGCTCTAAGGGGCTGTGTAAACCTCCACTATTTTGATATCATTGTCAGATTTTGAAATTGGCTTAAAAGAGTAAGAAGTTTCAGTGAAGTGCACAAGCAGCAACTTGGAGAAAACTATTGATAGACGTGGTCTTAGTAACCATGAACGTGTTATGCCACATTGCACTTCTCACATTCAATTAGCAATAAATGAGGAAGTTACGTACTTAACCACGGACAGGGTCATGGATTCCAAAGCTCGGAAACTTGGATAGAATGCGGTGGTCCAGGTAGTCGAAAACTTTTGAGAAGCCAAGGTAACCAATGGCGGCTCCTACTCTGACATAGACAGATTCTGTCCAGCTTGCTTAGATTAGCAGAAAGTTTGTTGTGCGTGACCGAATTCTGTGACTGTTACTACCAACTCTCTCATGAGTGCCATTGCGATAACGAATTTTACAACTTCTGTGTTGGTTTCAAAGATCGAGGTTAAGGATGAAAGCTAATGTTCTTTGGTTTGATTTCAAGCGAAAACGAAAGAAGTTACTTTCTGCTTCTCCACGTAGTTGCTACTGAGGCCGGCAGGCTAAACACTACACGTCTGCCGAAACCGAGTCAAGAAGTTGACTGGGGGGATCCCACAGCCAACACATGCAGCGCATCAATGAGTTGGATGCGATGACAGAGATTACAGCCAGGAGACCATGTATGCCGAATTCTTATTAATTTACCATAAACGAATTTCTAGAAATCTACTTGGGTTCACCTCGGTTTTGATGCGCTGTATCCCCAGGGTAGGCCATGGGCCTTGGTTACATAACTTATGAGAAGAGAAGAGATTTTGAAAACCAAATCCAGGTTATCTACTCACTTACTTGTAAAGGGATGATTTCGCTGCCATTGACAGTTCATATAACGCTGCGCCCGCTCTCGACTGGTTGATTCACGCCTGCTGCTAAATCTGCGCCCTTACGCGTGCTCTGTTTAACGCCTTGGCAAACCCGACCGGAAGGAAGACAGAAGAGTACTCAGCAGACCAGAGAGTCCTATTAGGGCAAAGAAAGCTCATATGTATATGTCGGGATCACAATGCGGATTTGACTATACGCCCACGCTCCAAACATACTTCTCCGCTCCATCTATCCAGTTCACCATGTTGCACGCGCATTCCAGTCTTCGTCCGCCCACGCAACGCACGGCAACGCGCGTGATGTCTGACGCGCGATTTCATCAGCTCTCGGATGGGTCCTGCTAACACGCTCGCAGGGACTTTCCCACGCACGATAGGTGGTAAACGCGCGACCGTTGGCACTCAGCTTTCTCGCCCAGCTGTCAACAGTACATTCGATTCAGCTACAGAAATAAAGTAAGCTCAGTAATCCGGAGTACGAGATGTATTGATGATTCGGGAAGATTCACGAAAGCCTGAGCACCTGTAGTGACCTGGAGATTCCCCTGTTTGGCTGCCGCATGCTGCGTAAAATATTACCAAATCACAAAATTATATTTTCTCGATGTACATAGCAAAAAGCCGCTCGCCTGTTTGAACGTTGCTCGCGTTTGTTTGAGTCAACATAGCATCCGCCTTCGAACGGCGCGACGCTCCTCGGCTCCGCGGCCATCTTTGCTCTCCGCGCACGCGACCACACCTTTCCCTAGCTAGCTATCTTTCGGTGCCTTATTTTTAGCACTAGATAGCCTTTCGCCCACTTAATAAATTTTTCCTAGCGTTACCTTTGGTGTTCTCCACTCACCGGAGGTTGGCCTTTTATCAGCGTATTTGTTCTAAAGCGTACCGATCCCGCTTCGCGCTTTACACCTAGTGTAATAAAGCAGTTAAAGAGCGATCGTACTGGCAGATAAATTTGGATTGATGATCATTAAGTCCCGTGGAGTGTACGCCGTAACCCTGGTCGACAAATCTCTCAGTTCGGTTGAATACAAGTGGCAACTTGAAAGAGGGATGTATAAGCTGAATTTCGTTGGAGGAGCCATAAGAATACAAGTATGCTTGTGTCTGCGTTCATGACTGCGGACTGTCATTTTGTTGTAGTGGACCACTGGTTTTTTATGTAGCATTACGCTATCCCTATTGGCTATGTGGAGTCGTTATTTTTCCTTCAGATACCAGCCCTATTCCGACGCTAGCATTGTAACTTTCCGTTCTGTGTACCGCACGTTTGAGAAGAGTCTTTCGTTTTTGCTCAGTCGACGCGCAGGTCAGGGGTAGATTGGAGCGCACTAATTTGCCGACCCACCAATGGCATGTAAGTCTACTGTATTTACTCATCCACGCATGTCTGGGGGTGTGAATACGACGTGCGGACGCATTGCGGTGCATGTGTCCTTGAAATATGTTAATTACCCTCGTCGATTTTGACACCGGCCAGTTCAGATTGGGTCGATGCCGACGTTTTTGGCTGGTGGTTTGCAACATCTCGACAGCAGTGCATAATGCACTGGCTACCGTGTTCAAATGTTGATGGCGCTTCGACAGTTGCTTAATGTTATCCCAGCAAATGATAAAAGGGTTAGTGACAACGCTGTTGTAGACTGAATGTTACCTTCACATAAACCACCTTAGCCAAATAAGAATTCGTAATAATTAGACGGTGAAAATATGAGATGCTACTTCTGCATAAATGGGTCCGGAACAATGTCTACCAGCTACTGGAGGCTCATCGGATCTATTTGCAAGTGCGCGGCCGCCTAAGGAGTTAATTCCAGCAGAATACAGAAATAAAAAGAAAGCTGAGTGCAGTGGCTTTTGAACAGATTTTATCAAATCTCATTTTATTCCATCAGCTTGGACAATTAAATCAAAATCAGTTTCGCAATGAACACGAGAAGGAATTTTACAGTATTGGTATGGTAAAAGAATCCTAGAAGTAGATAAAGAAGCGTTTAGGTCAAATCTAATCACCCATTTTAGAAAGAAAGGTGATGGAAGAATCCAGCGCGTACGATGCATTTATTTGATGAAGCCAGTCTGTTTACGGCTGAATATTCAAGCGTTGTTGGTGTATTAAGCATTTTATTGACTTGACTTGAGTTCCCCGCCTTGGCAGACTTGAATGTTTAAATATTCCTTATCGCCCAGATACGTATCCGGCCAATCTGGAAAACCTTAATATGCCATCCTACTAGAATTTTTGGTATTTTAAGTATCCATGGAAACTGTGTAAATAGATCACTGACGATTCACGCTCAACCGTTTGTTCCACGGTCATGACACATTCAGTAGTTGCGAATGACTTAACAAGCGTAAAAGTATTGCCCATTAGTTAATTTCCGGTGGCCGGTGGGACTCTCTGGGACTCTTTTAACTTCCGATATAATTCCACGGGATGTACAGCTGAGCGGCTAATCGTACTCCCACAACGACAGAACAACAACAGATCATGGTGACGTGCTGGTATAGATTTGTTTTCCTATTTCGTTAGACTGCTGCTACCAAAAGAAATGCGGATGTTCTACGTGTGCCCTAAAGCTCGATCCACCTGAGTGTTGGCGAAATGTGGGTGGGTGAGATTTACTGTTTTATGTGAAGCTGCCGTTTGCACTAGTTGCAAAATACCCAAGACAAAATGAACCGTAATCGCTTTCAGCTCATACGTCCTTTTGACACGTCAAAGAAATTGAACAGGGGTTCAAATTCCCTACAGGCCTTGTGAACTGGAAGCAGAGAGTGCGGAGATGATATCTGAGATTGGGGCAGCACTACACGTCTGCTGGTGGACTCGCACCAAACCGCAATCAGATCCCTCATGTATGAATTTGAAGTTGACGAGCTGCTAACAACTTGTCGTGGAGTGTGAGGCATGAATCCAGTAATACCTAGTGAACATCCAGTGGCCCTAGCTTGGCGAAAGCTGCTGCTGTCACACTCGCTTCCGTAGCAGTCATCCTAGGAATACTGTAAACTGGCTTCCATGAACTTACCTGAGCTACAAATCAAGTGGACTGGTCACTACAGCAAGATTCATCTATCGAAGCAATATAGGCAATCCTAAAGGAGTATGGAAAATGATTGTGCGCAAGATCCGTACCCCTCAATTATCAGATGGTTGCACTAATGAAACTAAAATGGTTCGACAAGTATATTTTATTTCATTAGACATTGACGTGTACTAAGGAATAAATTCAGTCCGATGGGTTCTGCCGCCGATTACGTGGTGTCATAATCATGGCTGATTTCACGCAACAGCACCAGTGTTCAAAAATCCCAGCCACAACGAAGACGACCCACAAGAGGATCATTCATTAAGTGACGCTGCACTTGAGGAGTACAGATGACGGAGCAATGTTAAAGGGTTCAGCCGGACAGTCCCTGACTTGCAGGAGGGACCATGCGTCGGCACTTGTGGCGCATTTCAATTCCTTATTCGCAAATATTTAGGAGGCGGTACAGAGTTTGATTTGTGTAGGCCCTGCCCCTTTTGACAGAAGAATTTCGGCATAGTAGATGCTCGCACGATATTCATTGGTAATTGGCGGTGCTTCACATGCTATACCTAACGATTCGCATTTACTTGTCTGCTTCAAATCTGTGCGAATCATGTTCCACATTGAGATTGCGGGTCGCATTGTGGGTTTGGTAGCATCCACCATTCAAATATGCTTCACTACTTATCGGTTTGACGCATGTCCTCGCAAACCATTGCTGGTCAGGTTTTAGACTAAGATGAGAACATTGCAGAATGCTGAACTGGAAAAACCGGGTTAACCTGCCAACAAAAGTAATTTGATGGCTTATCAGTTCGTCTTCAGTTCGGAAGGAAGAAGTGATCGTTGGAGACAATGAGATTAACGATTAGCGAACCATTAACAATTTGTAGGTCTGTTGAAAAATGCAAGACTTGATAAGGCGCAACCTTAACAGTTTATTTGTAACCAGTCATACGGATTAAAATATTCACCATACTTAATTGATTGTTACTTTCTATCTTTGTCTGCTATTCTATGTTGCTCTCATAAGTTGATCTCGCACTCCACTGTTACGTTAATTCTGATGCAATTGATGTATTGCTTAGTTTTGAATAATTTTATATCCATGGAACCCGCAGTTGAAACACTTTAACAGGTAGACAGTATACTTGTCCAAGTGTAATTGCTTTCCAGGAAATTTCTGTTCAGTCTTTTAGATCTACTGGTGTTGACTCTTGCAAAACCCTTGCCTGTACACAAATTCATAATCCGAACAAATGCATAACTCCCTGATAGCAATTGCAGGAACCAAGTGGGGTGCACGCTGCCGTACTCAACAGTCCTTCCACATGCAACCGCGGAATCACCCACGTCTGCAACATTTCTTTGTATGAAGAGGCTAAGAAGTGTGATGTATTAGTTCTGCTACACAACTTACCCGTCACATTTTGAGAAAAGAAGAAAGGTCCGATGGTTGTTCGACTTGTTAGTCCAGCCCAGGCAGTAGTACTTGCTCAATAGTCCGCTGTCGGTTAGCGACTTCTTGGAAAGGTCTGTTACAGAAGTCAAGATGGGGCAGACAAGTAAATGCGAATCGTTAGGTATAGCATGTGAAGCACCGCCAATTACCAATGAATATCGTGCGAGCATCTACTATGCCGAAATTCTTCTGTCAAAAGGGGCAGGGCCTACACAAATCAAACTCTGTACCGCCTCCTAAATATTTGCGAATAAGGAATTGAAATGCGCCACAAG